CCATCAATTAATAAACTAACTATTGCCCACAGTACATATAATACCACTGATATAGGGATTCACAGGCACACACACACATTACAAGTTATAATCAGTACAGTACCATATTAGTACAGTACACTAGTGGTACAACATACCCTCCTATTGACTCAGGGAGGAACATTAACCTGTTACTGGAGACATTACACACCTTTAAACTCTTTAAATAACCTAACAACAAACAAATAAACAAATAAATAAACAATAATAGCAACAACGACTAACTAAAGGACACAGGTAGTTGGGTGAGAAGGTTATTCTGGAGGTAGAGGTCGGTCAGTGATGATAGTAGTCCAATGGAGTGTGGTAGGTCCATTAGTCTATTGTCTGATGCTTCAATGAAGGAACACTTCTTCAACCCACTCATCTCCTCAGGGAGGGATATCAAACTATTCATGTCAATCCACAGCTCCTCTAATGACTGGAGACCACCAACCACAGGAGACTGAGGGAGGAGGAGGAAAGCAATAACAATACACTATACACTAGGAGCTGCTGCTGCTATTGGTGACTTATTATATTCTCAAACTCATTGCAACCAATGTCTAACCACTCAAGGTACTTTAACTGACCCAGCAACCTGAAGGAGAGAGAAGAGGAGGGATAGGGAGGGAGAGAAGAGGAGGGATAGGGAGGGAGAGAAGAGGAGGGATAGGGAGGGAGAGAAGAGGAGGGATAGGGAGGGAGAGAAGAGGAGAGATAGGGAGGGAGAAAAGGGAGAGAGATGAGGAGGGTGTTTGTAAGTCCCTCTGTAGTACCATGCTACAGTACAGCTAGTATACAGCCACACAGTAATGGCCTTCTCATATCAGAAGGTGTGGCTAATACCTTTTTCTTATTGAGGGGTGTGGCTATAGTCCCACTGCATGCTAGGGGTGTGGTTATACCTTCACTAGCCCCACCTACTTAGTAATTGATTAGTTACCTTTTAATTATTATTATTGTTTTTTTATTATTGTTTTTTATTATTCAATATTTAAAACCATTGGCTCATTTTATCACTATTCATCCCATTACATGTAACAACGGAGAACATGCAATCAATCCTTACCAGGGTCCAGTCCAGAACAGTCAGACCTACTAGAGGGGGGGGGAGTGGAGGGAGAGAGCAGAATATGTGGATTATATTGTACATGCATAAAATACATGATAAGCATGCGTAATTATACATTATTAACTCTCACTCTACCTCACACTCAACCAACTTTAAACTTGATCCTGAGTCCTGTCCAGAACAGTCAGACCTACTAGAGGGGGGGGGAGTGGAGGGAGAGAGCAGAATATGTGGATTATATTGTACATGCATAAAATACATTATAAACATGCGTAATTATACATAATTAACTCTCACTCTACCTCACACTCAACCAACTTTAAACTTGATCCCTGCAGAAATAAAAAAAAAGAGAAAAATGTTTAAACAATAGAATAAGTAAAGATCAATGGGACAGTGCTTTATTACATGTAATGGGATGAATAGTGATAAAATGAGCCGTTTATTATTAGCACTGTAATTAAGGTTATTAATAACATGCAATAGATACATTGTTACCATACACTGAAGACTTGGACTGAATTGATGCTGAAGAAGACTGCATGCTGGCTTGAGTCTATGTAGCAATCTTAAGGAAAGGGAAATAGAATACATGTTACAGATAAGGATGTACATGTA